GTGGTCAAAGATGGCTGTCCCCATGTTGACACAGGATGGCTACCACAAGATGGCCAGCAGGGGAGGGCAGTTGTGGGCAATCAGGCCAGCAGGGAAGGGCAATTGGGAAGGACCATGCCTGAAAGGAAGGGCAGTTGGGAATGATCAGGCTTGCAGGGAAGGACAGGGGGACCCAGGCCTTTAGAGAAGGGCAGTTAGGGGTAACCAGCCCTACAGGGGAAGGCAGTTGGGGGGACCCAGGCCTTCAGGGGAGGGAAGTTTGGGGCAACCAGGCCTGCAGGGAAGGGCAGTTGGAGAGAACCAGGTCTGCAGGGGAGGGCAGTGAGTGGTGACCAGGCCAGCAGAGGAGGACAGTTGGGGGCAACCAGGTTGGCAGGGGAGGACAGTTAGAGGTGACCAGGCCAGCAGGGAAGGGCAGTTAGGGGCATTCAGGCCAGTAGGGGAGCAGTTAGGTGTCAATCAGGCTGGCAGGGGAGTGGTTAGGGGATGATGAGGCTGGCAGGCAGAAGCGGTTAGGGGGAATTAGGCAGGCAGGCAGGCAGTCAGGCGAGTCATTGGGTGCCAGCAGTCTTGAATTGGAGAGGGTGCAGGCTGGGGGACACCTCCCAATGTATGAATTTTGTGCACTCTTGTTATGTAATAAGTCGTCATGTGTATGGGCAAGTATATTTCCTCCCTCCTAGAAGACAAATCTATACAGACAGTCAAATACATACAGAGAAGGGGCAATAGTTGCACAACTTAAATGATTAAATTTGCTAAACCATGATACCCCAGCACACCCATTCCTACATAGAGGTCTTCCCTGACTCCTGCACATGACCCATCACCTCAGTGCTGAAGACCCCTGCCAATTCTTGCTCCCAGTGCTTAAGTCCTGGTTAATAGGCTACCCCATCAGACTTAAGTTGCTTAAGTCCTGGTTAATAGGCTACCCTATCCGACTTAAGTCCTGGTTAATAGGCTACCCCATCAGACTTCAGATATGTTAACATCCTCTTGGTTAATACTTAATAGGGTTAAGGTCAGACCTGGGAGCAATCTTTTCTTTTAGATGACTTCATATATATTGATTCTGCTCTATTGTATGTATTTTATAGTTAAATTTTAAGAAATGTGAAAGCAGACTTATAGGAAGTATCTGCACTTTTTTAAAATCTATTATAATAGTTACTCTATTTGTTTAGGGACCCGCATTGCTAATTGTTTTAGCAAACAATGGTTTGTGGGGTTGTCAATGTCAGTACAAGGGGGGGATTTAACTCTAAAGATTAAAGCCTTTTGGAAGGTAGGCTGAAAACATGCATAGGCATAAAACCTTGTTCTGTACTTAACAACTAAAAAAACATTCTTGCAAGATTGTAATAAGCCCCTTGGGAAATCCTCATTTTCAGTGGAACTTAACCTTTGAGCTCAACCTATTCTATGCTAATCAAATGTGAGGGAAACATGCAAATGTGGAGCTGGAACTCTCTCAGGTGAGGTATTCCATGTTTGGAATCTTTAGCAGAAGAATCTCAAGACCTTTTCTCCATTTTCTACCTCAGATCAAAGGGGACATTTAATGACCAGATCACTCTCCTAAATTTATTTCTTGAAACAATAGGCAGGGGAGGTTTTGTTTTGATCGAGGGCACTGCAATGGGCCAACACATTGTGGCCTCCTTTTGTTTCCTGTTTGGACTGCTTTTGAACTTGGGAGTAAATTTCCATTCTTATCATGCTTTCTTTCAAGTATGCTAACCATAGATGAAGGGAAGTGGAAGAGAAGTGCTTCTGGTGGTAGAGACCAGCTGAGGCCAGAGGGCTTGTCCTAGAGAGCTGACTCCTGAGGCATGCCATAGCCCAGCGTCAGCCCTGATGGGGTGCCCAGGGCCTGTCTGAGAATGCATGGAAGCTGGCTCTCAGTATTTTCATCTCTAGTGTTAGAAGCATTCCCTGAACACCTATAACTGCCCTTAGTATCACTCTCCTCCCTGTGTGAGGAGTTCAATGACAGTTGAGAGATACCGTAGGGCAGTGGTCAGCAAACTCATTAGTCAACAGAGCCAAATATCAACAGTACAATGATTGAAATTTCTTTTGAGAGCCAAATTTTTTAAACTCAAACTTCTTCTAACGCCATTTCTTCAAAACAGACTGGCCCAGGCTGTGGTATTTAGTGAAGAGCCACATTCAAGGGGCCAAAGAGCCCCATATGGCTTGCGAGCAGAGGTTTGCCGACCACTGCCCTAGGGGATGGGCCCATAAATATGAGTTGAACAGGCTTTGCTCAAATACACCTCTGGTGCTACTACCAAGTATAAGAAATGAATAGGATTCTAGCCCCTCGAGATACAAGCAACACATTCTTGCTCATGTGATTGTTAATATACACGTTAGCTGCCAAAACCAGTTTGGCTCAGTGGTAGAGCGTTGGTCTGTGGACTGAAAGGTCCCAGGTTCGATTCCGATCAGGGGCATGTACGTTGGTTGTGGGCACATCCCCAGTAGGGGCTGTGCAAGAGGCAGCTGGTTGATGTTTCTCTCTCATGGACGTTTCTAGCTCTCTATCTCTCTCCATTCCTCTGTGTAAAAAATCAATAAAATATATTTTAAAAATATATATATATGATAGCTATAAAAGGCATGCGGATTTTAAATAAGATTTACACGAAACTGAGCTGTGAATATAATTTATTCATATTCTTACAAAGAAATTTGTTATACAGACAATAGGAAAAAGTACACGTGCTCCCTATGAAAAGGCAAATAATACTAAGATCAGGCTAATACTTAATAACAAAAATTGCTTGAGAAAATCAATACCTTTTAAATTAGACAATGTACACGGCTTTAAATTGTTCCTATTTACAAGTCTGTGTGAGCTCACGGGAGAAGGTCTGTAATTAGCACACTGGGGAGATCCATTCTGCAGATCAGCTTGGAGACATTTCAGAGGCCTCTGGTTCATTCACACTGCCCAGGCTCTTTCCTCCTGGTCATTCTTGGTCATGCTGGCCTTTAGTTCTGCACCCCCTCCCCAAGTTTTATTTCACAGATTCCCTAACCAGAGAGATTTCAGTTCAAACACTGAAAATTTGTTTTTTCCACAGGAATATACATGATGCTGCTTATGACAGTTGCAAAAGGCTTTGGTCACAGGGTTTTTAAATGGGAACAATGTTTGTTTTCCTGAGAAAAGGAAGAAGTGAACTCTCCCTAAAGTATTTGTAGGTTTACTTCCCTTTTTATGCATGTCTATTGATTCAGCAAACTGTATATATAAATATTTTAAAAATATATTTTTATTGATTTCAGAGAGGAAGTGAGAGATAGAAACATCAATGATGAGAGAGAATCACTGATCAGCTGCCTTCAGCATGCCTCCTCACTGGGAATTGAACCAGAAACCCGGATATGGGCCACGAACAGGAATCGAACCATGACCTCATAGTTCATAGGTCGGCCCTCAAACACTGAGCCACACTAGCTGTATGTATATTTTTCACTGAGCACTGTAAACCCAAAAAGCACTTTAAGATTCCACAGTTCCTCTTTCTGCATTCTCCATATTGAAATGATACAAATTGAAGGAGAAGGGGACTGGCAGAACATTCTACCACCATCTCTAGCCCATTTGGCTATAAAATCTTTATAGAGCAGGTTAACTTTTAAAAGAAAAATGGGAGAATCCTTTAACTGGATGTCTTTTCGGTGCATTGATTTCTGAGAGAACATTTTGAATATTCAAAAAATAATAAATTTTTTAAGTCAAAATTCAACAACTTCTAAACACACAGAAGTAATCTCACTGTACCGTTCAGTCTTTGTAACATGTAAGATATCCTCAGAGGAATTGAAAATATAATTTTAAAGGGCCCTCAGTTATTGATAACTTAATTCTACACATTCATGACATTGACAAGATTAATTTAAGGATTAAAATAAAAATAGCTATGCTGAATATTTTATTAAACTGTAATTTTCTAGCCCTGGCCATTGTGGCTCAGCTGGTTGGGCATTGTGTTCAATTGTGGGTTGCCATGTTCAATTCCTGATCAGGAAACGTGTCTGGGTTGTGTGCTCTCACTCCGTAGGGGGTGTGTAGGAGGCAGCCAATCAATGATTCTCTCTCATCATACATGTCCCTATCTCTCTCTCCCTCTCCCTCTTTCTGAAATCAATTTAAAAAATCTTTTTTAAAAGTGTAACTTCTATACTATTTAGGAACTGGTAAAGCCAAGAACTTCTGTTATCTCATTGAAGACAAATCCATTCTCACAAGAAAAAGATAATAAAATTCCACCTAAAAAACCCCTTGCAATCTCCAAGAAAAGTAACAAAACAGAATGATGTTGACTGACAGAAATTCTTTCTCCCTAATGCAGCTCTGATGGCCTGAAAAGGAACAAACAGTGTCTGCAAGTAAAATCCACACATTGACAACACGGAGGTCGTCCTGCTGAGGAGCCGGGAGCAAGCTCAGCAATCAGCCGCCCCACCATGCTGACCACAGCTTATAATGTGTAACTTGCATGGATTTTTCACAAGTCAAAGAGCTTATCTGAGATTTCGGGGTTGACTTCGATTTTATGACCACGAATTCCATTTCCTTAAGACTTTAGTTGGTTTACAGAGCTTAATTTTTAATACTGTTAACACCATCTAGCAAACCAAACATAAAAAAATATCAATAAATATCAATAATTAGCTCTAGTCTCAGTTCCTCCTTCTGCTGGAGCATTTTGGCTTCATAAATATATTCCAGACTTTGTGCCAATGCCCCATGAGGGATTAACATTCCATAGCCAGAGCACGTGGTCCCAATGTATCTCTTACATATTTAGGGATATCCCTGAAGTTTAAGAGAAAACTGCAGAATGAACTTAAGAACAGATAGCCGGTGGGTTAGCAGGGAAGTGGTTACTAGTGAAAAACAACAAATTGCTGAGACTGGAAGCCAACTGGGGCAGTTAGTCAGAAATGACTGTGACCATGGCTGTGGATGAAGGTCGCTCTCACAGAGGGCTATCCACCAACATTTTCTTGGCTTGCAGGTAGAAGATACGGTTTTCTTCAGGGTAAGTGACTTTACTGAGGGGCATCCTGTAGAAGCTGGGGTTTTTTGAGGTCATCAAGAGGAACAGTAGTGCAGCCAAACAGAAGGGCCAGGTGCAAGATGGCAGTCCGGCCTGAGGAGAAGAGACAAGCACGAGTTCCTTTGAGATCCTGTCGGAAAGCTAATCCACACACAGCACCACCTCTCACTCCATCCTCATTCTTCTAGGGATGGGTCTCAGGGTGGGGAGGAAGTGTGCGGGGGCATTGATTTGAACTCTGCTTATGCCCATGCAGATTGAGTCTGAGCTCAGGGCCATTAGCAGTTGAAAGGTCATCATCCATTCTTTCAGGGGGTCAGCTACATTTCCATATTGTATCTTGTTCTCAGACATTTAGATTTCTAACACCAGATGTGAAAAGATGATACTTGGCACAGAGATAACACCGGGCAAATACCCAATGGCTCCTGACTATTCATCACACCCACAAGTCCCAGAGTGACCTCTCTACCCATTGACTTCCACCCAGACTAGGTCTTTGACTCTACCTGCTTTCCTTCTTTTTCACTCTGTCTCCTAAATAGACTCTAAGCCCCTTGAGGGTAAGTCTCTCTCCTGTGGTGACTCATGAGATTTTGAGAATACACCATGTGTCCTATGCAAGGATCCCATGGGTATGATGGTACCTAAACTGGCTGCACATTAGAATAATCTGGGAAGGGGGTTAAAAACACAGATGTCCAAGCACCAGGTCAGATCCACTTTATCAGGAATGCCAAGGAACTGGGCCTAAGGGTCTGTTTTTTTTTAAATCTCCTTTCCCTTGCTCACACTGTTGTACAGCCTGTCCAATTCTGGTCTGTGGATCTTTGTTGGGATGGGAAGGGCCCCACAATGTTCTAATGCACTGCCTGTCATGCCTGTAATGGCGCTTTGACATTCTACCAGAAAGATACTATGTCTCCAGATTACCCTCCCAGATAGTATTTATGCTGCAGTTGAGAGGACTAGTTACACTCTTGACCCATTAGCAGCCATGACCATATCCACATTGACTGAGCTATCAGAAACTCACTCTGCATCACCTGCAAGGGGATGAAAAGAGAAAGTCCAGGGCATTGGGAGGTGGTAGGAGTGGGGAGGTGGGAGGGTCCTGGAACAGTTATACTGGATTCCTCGGGCAAGGGGAAAAAGAAAATCAAAGGGTCAGATAGTGCTGAAAAGAAAGGGGAGAGAGAGTGGCAGGGGACCCTTAATGGGCAATGATTTTGCCTATTAATTGATTCATCCAGGACATGGGTCTAAATAAATCTTATTGATGACTGACTGGGGATTTAAAATAAGATAAGGATATGAAAAATTGTTGGCTTGATTAAAAAAAATTTGAGTCTTTAGCTAATTGTCTTTTCTTCCCTTTCCTGCTTTCTCAAGTACTACATAGTCCTGGCTTTCTGTTTCAGTAAAATATATTCTAAAGTCAACTTCCTGATGTTAGAGTCTAAATTTGGTAATATGTTACACAACCTCAATTTCACTTCCTTGAACTAAGCAATCTGATATTCTTAAAAAGCCTGAGTCTTTAATAATTTGAACCCAAATTTACTGTGATGCTGGAAGGTGAGTACAGACAGGTGGAAGGAAAGGGGAAGTGGTGGCTGTCACAGTCATGGATTCTGCCCTAGGACACCATCCACATGGGCTTCAGAAGGGTTTCCATATCACTGAAAGCTGACCAGTCATGCTGATGATAAAGCAAACTCACCACAGCCATCAGGTGTGACAGGCTGACTCCCAGGTAGGCGGTGAACAGGGCTACAGAAAAAGAAGAGAGAACAATGCTTGGTAGGCTTCATTTCATTGTGGGAAAGGCTGCCTTCTGGTATAAATTTCCTGGAATGTAAACATCCACATTTTGCCAGCTAGCCCAGAACCCTGGTTGCAAGTATGTGTTTGGAGTCAGCAGCTCTGGATTTGAATCCAGACTTGACCACGTGTACAATGAAGGTTATAGGAACATTTCTTTCACAGGGCTGGTGCTAGGATGAAGGAGGTAATGCTTGGGCTTAGCACACAGGTATCATTTCTGAGGTTACTATCTTGTTGCTGCTTTGCTGATACTTAAGGAAAAATCCTTCCATAGCAAATAAACTTTCCTGTTATTTTATCCAGGCAGAGTTGAATCAAAATGAAACTTATGAATGTTTCTTGAGGTAATATGGTTTTTATACTGCATGTGGGATTCTCAAATTAAGTCAGTTAAAAAAAATCATGGTATTAAAAAAAGAAGAATGTAGTAACTCAAAGATCAGCAGAAACTGAATACAAATGTGGGATTCCTCCCCAGAATAACATTTTTCCAAATACCATTAAGGCTGGCATTCAAGCCAATAAATAAATATGCTATTTTTAAATTTACTTTGAGTAAAGCATGAATGCTATTTTTAAATTTACTTTGAGTAAAGCATGAATCTTAGAGTAGGTAATCTGAGTGTATGTGTGACTTTCAATGTAAAACAGCAAAAACAAAGATCTCAACTAGCAAATCATTAATTCTTCAGTTTTCGCTGAAGAGGGGACTCAGGGAGGCTCAGGGGAGCAGCCTGAAGAATGATTTGTATACACCCTTGGGCCACCAGCACACACCGAGATATACTCACCACCTAGACTTCTTGTCTGGTGAGAAATCACATCAGCTATCTTAGGGGACAGGACAGGAAATACTGGGAGGAACTCTGTATTCCTCAATTCCATCCTTTTGTCAATATTTTGTCTTTTTACGTATTTTTGTTCAAAAGTATTCCTAATTCTTTCACATCTGAATTATCTCATGCTAGTGGGAAAGGTTTGTCTTTGGAACCAGTTTGGACTTCAAATCCAAATTCTGCCATTTTGTTTGTTGTGCAACAAATCACCCAACTTCTCAGAATCTAGTTTTATAGTTTGAAATCAGGTAACTTGGAAGTATATTTTACAAGGAGATGGTGAATCTCAAATGAAATCATGTATTTCCACAACAGCAGCTGTAAACTCACCCCTGTCATCACAGTATTGAGATATTGGTCTGAGCAGAAGGGTGCGACAGGTTGAAAGGATTTCTGTGCTTGGTTTCCATAATTTTATTCTCCCCCTCCCATTTCTTCATTCATTCATTCACTCATTCAACAAATATTCACTGTCCCTCAGATAAGCACTAGGGACACTCTATCCTTGCTCTCTTGAGTACCAGCTCTTCTATGACACATTTCCTGAGCACATGAGACATTATTGCCATTTCTCTCTTTTTAATACCCATTTGCACTTCTAAGGCACAATCTTGTGTGTTCAAGTCTCATATTGAACTTGGTGTTCAAAGTGATGTCCAATTCCAAGTTCCTTTTCTGTCTATAGTAAGTGTCAGACTATCTAATAGCAGCTACCCATCAACTAAGACTTGCTGAGTTGGGCTGGGAAAGCCTTCCTTAGAGGTAAGTTCTGCACATCACTGTTTGTAGCTGATGACCCTGACAGTGTTCTGGATTGTCGAGGGAGAGAAAAGGCCCTTGAGTGCTGAAGGGAAGACTAGATTTCCACTCTTCATAGACAATGTCCCTCCCAGCAGACCACCATGTGTGAGTCCTACCATCATATCCTGGCCACACAAAGGAGGTACAAAATGTGTTTACAGTTTGCAGTGATAAAATAACAAAATTGAGGGATTCCCTGGTTCAGAGGCAGGGAAGGCAGCATTGGCAGGCTCTATCAGGGTTTGCCAAGTCTTCTTTCCTGAAAAAGCCATATAATAGGGCACCTCTGTCATAAATACCTGTTATTTATTTACCTTGGTTGACAAGGCTGAGTTTTGTTTGACAGCATCAGGGTGATGTGGGCAAGCTGAAACTTGCAGTGGCATTTTACACGGGATATTTGCTTTATAAGAGGGGCTGGAGGTCTGTCTCAAAACTTGATGTATAAAATGAAAAACACTGAGAGTACCTAGTGTGATGCAACAGACACCTTTACACACTGTTGGTGGCAGAGGAAATTGATATGGCTTTTGTGGGATGAATTTGGCATCCATTAAAATTGAAATCAGCAGAGCTGGAATTTTGGCACCAGTGTGTGGGCTCTTAACTGATTTAATATACTGCCTTAACCGTTATGCTAAACTAGTAAAGAAAATCTGATCTACTCAAAGGAAGGTAGGCATGATAGGCAAAATCCCCAAAGATGTCTCCGTCTTAATCCCCAGGACCTGTGAGTATGTTACCTTAAATGGCAAAGGGACTTTGCAGCCGTGACTAAGAAATCTTGATATAGGGAGATTACTCGGGGTTATCCAAATGGACCCAATATAATCACAGGGTCCTGATAAGAGGGAAGCAAAAAAGTTCTATCCAGGCAGTAGGATGATGAATGATCCCTGTTTGCTTTATACTCCTCTGTATTGATAGAACTTTTGTCAGTTTTATTTTGTTCAATTAGCCAGTGTTACTTCTATAATAAAGAAAATAAGGAAGATATTCCTGCTTTGGGGAAATACATCCTCAAATATGTTTGGTTTCACCTCTTTCTGTCAAGACCTCATCCACAACTCTTGTGATCAAAACAGTTTCTGCTTGACCTTTAAGGATGGGCTCCTGTTGTCCCCATGCTGGTCCTGACCACCCTCTCCACCAACAGGAATTTCTCCTCCCAGTTCTTAGAACTTATGGAAAAGCCAGCTTCTCTAGGAGGTGCGTCTCAATGATTCTAAACTGTAGCGTTCCCCTAAGAATCTTGCACTGTAGATGTCTCCTTGTTCTATTGTAAATGTCATATGGGCTCCTGTGGGCTCTCTCTCTTATTCATCTGGCTTCTACCCTTAACTGCAACACTCTGTGAGCAAGAACTACCTGGGATCTAAAGCTTCTAAATCCCCAGGTCTTATAAGTACTGTTGGGACTGTATCATGAGTGTTTAATATGTATTTGCTGCCAACACAGAAAAATAAAGGTAGGCACTACAAATAAAGCTTTGAAACCTCAAACTAATCTCAGAAGAAAGATTCTAACCCCACTAAGCTCAAGTGGCTCTATAATCTATTGCCCTAAGCTTATAAACAAGTTTGGGAGAATGAGCAAAAAGTTTTGAAAGGGTTATTAGGGAAAATAGCTGTGTGACTACAAAATGACATATGAGTTTTGTTATCCTTTCTGCAGCACCAGGAAATCAAAATTGCATGAGGCCTTGGAAAACCTTGGTCCTATCCCACCCTCTGCCCTATGCAGAAATTTATTCTAAATCCTGCCAACACGAGGTCTGCCATTTTAAAAATATATTTTATTGATTTTGTACAGAGAGGAAGGGAGAGAGATAGAGAGTTAGAAACATCAATGAGAGAGAGTCATCGGTCAGTTGCCTCTTGCACACCCCCTACTGGGGATATGCCCACAACCAAGGTATAATACATGCCCTTGACCGGAATCAAACCCGGGACCCTTCAGTCCCCAAGCCGACGTTCTATCCATTGAGCCAAACAGTTTCGGCAAGGTCTGCCATTTTAGTAATGACACCTTGGATTGTTTAATCTGGTGATAAATTGGCTGTAGACAAATATTCCCATTAGATTTGAAGTAATTTCTGCACATTCCACTATCCTTGCTCCCCTTTGTCCCCTAGGGAATGTCATTCCCTTCAGTCTAGCACAGCGATTTTCAACCGCTGTCCATGACACCATTGGTGTGCTGCAACAGTGTTTAAAACATGCAACACCTGACTATTTAGCCAGGGACACTGACCTCTTTTCTCTTAGATTTTTTTTAAAAATAAATATATATTTTTTTAATTGATTTTTTTTTTTTTTTTTTTTTTTTTTACATAGAGGAAGGGAGAGAGCTAGAAACATCAGTGAGAAAGAAACATCAATCAGCTGCCTCCTGCACACATGCCCTTGATCGGAATCAAACCTGGGACCTTTTAGTCTGCAGGCCGATGCTCTATCCACTGAGCCAAACCAGTTTCGGCTCTCTTAGATTGTTAAATTTTAAAAAATGACAACAGCCAACACATCTGGTGTGAAGGAATCAAAGCCATACTTATTGTTTTTGTTAGATCAGCAATATATATATTTCGGTGTGACACAGAATTTTAATAATTACTTTGTGTGCCATGAGATGAAAAAAATTGAAAACCGCTGGTTCTAGCACATTATCTACAGTGTTTTTACTTGTGTTGAATTAGGAACATCAGATGCTGTGGGAAAATAAACATCCCTCCCAATGGCCTGAGATGTTCATTAGCTTTTCAAATCTAAATCACTGGAATCTGTTTTCACCTAAGGCCTGGGCTTAATGCTTCAACCTGGTTGTTAGCCAATGTGGATTCTGGGTTTGCATTTACTCTGCCTCCTCCCGCCCCCATTGACTGGATGTCTTTTGGCTTTAGTTCCCCAACAATAAAATTAGAAGGAAGGAATGGCGCTCTCCAGAGCCCCTTCTAGTTCTGTGGGCTGAGTCTGGCTACAATGCAGGGATCAGAAAGGGTTAATACTGCAGTTCTCACAATGTGGCCCTCAGAGAACCAGCACCAGTTCCAACTTACACTTGTTTTAGAAATGCAAACTCCTTCCTCCACCTCTAACAAATGAGCTAGGGTCTGTGGGTGAGCCCAGAGGTCTTCATTTTAACAAGCCTCCCAGGTAGTTCTGATGCACGCTCAAGCTTGAGAAGAGCTGGATTAAGGTGATCCTCTAAAGGCCACACAAAATTCTACCTGAGTCACCAGGGGAAATGACTCCGTATTTATTATAGCTTGAGTTATTTCCTTTTTGTTTCTTGGGTCAAATGATTAGTATGAAGAACACAGGACAAGTTGAGTTTCTATGCCCCAATAAACACATAGGATAAAATGGATAGTACCTTTCAACAGGCTCTCCTGTTTCATAACCACCTAGCTGGGCAGAGCCGACTGGAATGCTCCCAGACAAGGGATGTTACTCGCCCAGGTCACACACTTAGATGGCACGGGTCCCAAACAAGAACTCCAGCTCTAGTGTCTCGTGCAGTCCTTTTGTACTGTTTGTCCTGGATTTTGACCTCATAGTCACCAGCACCCCTCCTCCCAGATGCGCGGAATACTCACCACAGGCGAGAGCCAGGAGGTGGGTTTGCCAGGTGAGTGCCATGAACATCCCTCCAATTGCAATGCAGGACAGAGAGCTGTTGAAACCCCAGAGTCCAAAGTAGATATTCTCAAATGGAGCCGAAAGGCTGAGCGCTGTTAGATAAGACAGGAGCAGTCAGAGCAGCAGACGCAAGGCAGGGTGCTCTGGAAGGGGCCTAGGGTGGAGGCAGCAACTGACAGTTATTGGAAGGAGAGAAAGGTCTGGAGTGCAGAAGGTGCCTGAACAACACCAGGGTGCTCTCCATGCCTGCTCACCTGCTGCTATTCCTATCGTCGACCCGATGGCAGCATGCAGGCACATGAGTGGGGAGGAAAGTAGGATGGCACACAGGAAAATGAGCCCTGTCCACAGATTGTCACAGCCGTATATCTGACCAACACCCACAGGCAGCGATTTCAGTAGCTGTAAAAATAATTTAGGAAATAAAGTCGTTAAAATAACTGGACAGAAACCCATAGGACATCCACAAACATATATGAAGCAATTTTAGATTTAGTGTATCTAATCTTTTGAGATAAGTATCATTAATTTAAAAAAATTCTCCCTCTCTCTTTACAGAAAAATCTCAGTCCTATTTCTGCTTTATTCCCAGAGGTACACCAGCCCTTCCCTGGTGTACTCAAAGCCTTCTCAGCAACCCCCTCTACTCCCTGTTCTCGTGCCTGCACAGACATGTGGCCTTGGTAACTGTGGTGCCACTGTCCCACTATGAGGATCTCCCACGCCTCCCCATGAGGATGGCAGGGACCACCACTTATACATCTACTGCTTTCAACTGTCCATATATGCTGGGGCCAATCCATCCATGCGTCTCTACAGCCCATGGAAATAGTATTGTTCCCATGCAATCTGGCCGTTAATGAAGTCAGGTGATCTTATCCACAATTTAGAAGCAGGTCTATACTGTGAATTTGATTCTACCCTAAGTTGGACCCTAAATTCTTCCTGCCTATGCTGGATTTTCATGTCTACACAAGATCATTTCCTGTTTCTTCTAAACCAGAGAATGTGACCTAGGCACATCCAGCAGAACTACCCCTCAGGTAGCCAGGGGCGTGGAGAGTGGGTGAGGTGGGAAATAAGTGCTGATGCTGAGGTGGCAGTTCAGAGGGAGGGGAAGGACAAGACTCCCACACCCCCCAGCCAGCACTGTCTGACAGAGCTTTGCATGATCTTGGAATATTCTGTATCTCTGTTGTCCAATACATGTGTCTACCAAGCACCTGAAATGTGGCTAGTGAGGAAAAGGAGCACAATTGTAATCTTACATTTTAATTAATTTTACATTTAAGTTAAAATACCCACATGGGGCTAACAGCTGCTATATTAGACAGTGTGATTATAGATCAATCAATGAATATTATAATATCATTTTTAATGGGAGCTATAATATATTTTTAAAAATTTCCTTCTGAGTTATTTCCAAATGCTCTCATTCATTTTCTGAGCAAGAAACTAAAGGAAAGGCTATGTAAGCTTCTCACATGTTTTGATCGCCCAGCCCGGAGGACAGCAAAAGATGTTTTATAACCTCACAGTGGGAAAGTGAGTTTTTTTGCACGTGAGAAAAAGCAGGGTTTCTTTGATTTTCAAGTGTTCTCTTTCTTTAAATAATCATGAAGACAAAGATATTTATTAAATAAATACCAATAGGAAGAGCTGGAACTTTATTTGGGTTAACCAGGTGTTTAAAAATGCTGTTCTCTCTATGCACATCTGTAAAGAGGTACACAGTATTTAGCCTTCAGGGTGATTCTCAAACTCTGGCCCACAGCATAAATATTTGAGGGCTTGCTATCCAGATTCCCAGGCCACACCGCCAGAGATGATTATTTAGGAAGTCTGAGTTGGTGCTTATATTGGTACTTAGAAAACAATGATTCTGATGCCTACTGAAGCTTGGGGACCCAGAATTATTGTTCTTTGTGAGATTGAACATAAGAAAAGCAGCACAGAGAGATTGTACGGTGGGTAAAACAGTAAGCAGCCAGTCTTTTTGGCAGGTCATGGAGGGCTTAGCCCCAGGTGGAGTGCCTGCATACGTGGCTAGCCCACATCTCACCCATCCAAACAAGGGCCAAGTTTGCAATAAAGTGTGTGATTTCCAATGGCACTATGTTATGGAATTAGCACTGCAGATCTTAGGAAAGTTAGCTTTGTCCAAATAGTCATTAAAATAACAAAACAAAACAACAACAAAAAAAACCCAACAACAAACCTTTAGAGCCCAAAACTTTGGAGAAGAACAAATGCTTTAGCTAGCAAAATGAAGACAGGAAGCCTCCCCAACCCCAACTGAGTTTCTATAAGGCTGGGAAGCCATGGAAGAGTAACCAGGAGGATGATGGCTGTCTTTCAGAGCCAGGGGGAATGCGAAGAGATTGTGTATCTTACCTGCAGGCCACTGAGGTCAGACCAGGTGACATTGGGAACCGAGGTTATGGGTTTGAACAATTTGATTGGGAAGAACGGATTGTAATGTCCTGTGGCCGAAAGGTACATGGTCAATGCCATGTTGAAGGGCAGGGTGAAGATAGGAAGGTCCCATTTGCTGAACACGGAGCTCAACCCACTTGAGAAAATTGGACTAAAAACAAAAACAGAACAGAATGGAAGAATATGCATGTGGCAGCCAATGTTGACAAACTGAATCTCTTTACTAGGGATAGCTTTTGAATATGCCCCTAAAATGCTGTCTTGGAAAACCTTTCACAGGCAAAACAAACAAAACAAAACAAAATCTGAACACACTTGAGGTATATCCTATCATAGGATAATTCTTACATAAAGTAAAAAAAAAAGTAAACTCTTAGTTTCTTTGGCTTTTGAAAAATTACATCTGGGGTTGCTTACAGTGAGCTATAAAGCTTTAGGTTTCAAAAATATTTTTCTAGTATTTAAGACATAGGAAATAAAATATTACTTATACAGGTAAAGCTGCATGTGTGACCTACTTGATAACATGCCCTTCCCTCCCCCCTCTTGTCTGTATCTCTACAAGTCTTTAGTGTATGTATTTTTAAAAAGATAAATCATTATCTAAGGGAGGATGCAGGTGATGTGAGCTGGATGAAGAAGGTCTTAAACTCAGGGGGACAGAGTTTTAGGTCCTTAAGCAGTTGAACTGTGTAACCTTGGGCAAGGCACTGCTTACTCCTCAGGGTCTTTGACTGTAAGGGGGTTGAATTAGTTGGTCTCTGGGACTCTTTTGCACACTCACTTGTTGACTTACTCAAAGTACCATCCCTTTAAGATCAGAACTTCAGATTTCATGGTTTGTGGAAGGGGGTCTGGTAAGCACCCACAGGCAATGACTCTTGCCTTTGAACCTGTTCTTCAGAGCAGTCTGGGAGTTACCTCCTGGGCAGGTGGGCTTTGCTGGCAGGTTCTCCTCCATACACCTGCAGGTGTAGCCCTGGTGGGTGGCTCTCCTGCAGACACTGTCCATAGCAGACTTTACTTCTCACTTGTGTAGCTATTAGTATTTTATATTCTAAATATGCTACAGTAAGAAGGAAATGTTTGTTTCCGAAAAAAATAAAAAGGATTTAGGACACTGTCAGCATAGAAACTAATTTGAAGAATTCTTTTTTTTTTTTTTAAAGGAATTTTCCCCTCATTCCACCATGATGCTGACGCCACTCCTCAATAAAAAATTTTTGAAGGGAGTGGGGCAGGTGGCTAAGGGGAGTTCATAGAGGCACAGTGATTCTCAAAGTGGGATCCCTGGATCGGCCATATCAGCATTATCCAGGAACTTGTTAGAAATACAAATTCTCTGCCCGTCCAGTTGAGCATTGATCCATGAACTAGGAGGTTAAGGTTCGATGCTGGGGTTTTAGGCTTGATTCCCAGTAGGGGGTTACAGGAGGCAGCCAATCAATGATCCTCTCTCAGCATTGATGCCTCTCTCTCTCCCTCTCCCTCTCCCTCTCCCTCTCCCTCTCCCTCTCCCTCTCCCTCTCCCTCTCCCTCTCCCTCTCCCTCTCCCTCTCCCTCTCCCTCTCCCTCTCCCTCTCCCTCTCCCTCTCCCTCTCCCTCTCTCCCCCTTTCCTCTCTGAAATCAGTAAAACCATATTAAAAAAAAAAAAAAGGAATGCGAATTCTCAGTCCAATCCAAGGTGAACTGATTCAGGACCTCTGGGGATGGGAGCCACAGTCTGTGTTTCAGCAGGCCCTGCGGGGCATTCTGGTCGTGTGCAGGTTGAGGACCATTGATGCAGCCAGAGGCTCTCAACGTTGGTTGGACTTTAGAAACTTCTGGGGCTTTTAAAACTCCCAATGCCCAGGCAACATCCCAATTAAGACTGATTACATCAGAATATTAAGGAGAGGGGAGAGGTGGTATGAAGGCCATATGTATCAGCGTTTTTAATGTTTCCTTTTTCCAATAGACATTACCCGAATCTAAATTTTTAAAATGATTTCTCTAGAAGTTGCATCATATACATAACATGAAATTTACCACGTAACCATTTTAAAGTGTGCCCTTATGGAGCACTAAGTACACTCACATTGCTGTACAACCAGCACCACCATCTATTCTCAGAACATTTTCCATCTTGCAAAACAGAAGCCCTGTACCCATTAGCAGTAACTCCTCAGTCCCACACACACCCCTATAATTTTTACAAAAGCATTTAGAAGGCCAGTTACAACTTACCAAGTCATGGACATCACTGAGACAGGGAATAGCAGCCACCAGAAATAATCCCCATTGTTTGAAAAGATCGCCATGAGTATCCCCACGAGGGTGGCGTTGTAGCCGTGCAGCCCGTTTGCGATTGCTGACCTGCAGGTGAGAGCACAGTGTGGACATTTTCCAGGTGGACGTTGGCTGGGTTTGCACATGTGACACTTGTAAATTCCAGGTCATATTCACATGAGAAAATTCGATTATATTTAGAAATCTATTCCCAAGTCTATAGAAGCTGAATACTACTAACAATGTGAAAAATTACAAATGCACACCTAGAACAGCCCCCTACAGAGGCATCAGAGCTAACTATGTGCCAACCCAGGTCTGTTTCCTTTAGCCTTTCCTGCGGGAAGTTATTATTTCTTAGAAATTATTGAGGGCCTCTGACTTGAATAAAGCTTTCAGATAAAACTGTTTTTGAAATCTGACTTTCTTGGTCAGGCATAAGATTCTTGAAATGTAAATTCACTTTCATGGTGTCCTTGGTTTTACCATTTAACATATATTTTATCACCCTGTGCTTCCATTTTGTTGTCTCCAAACACACATTTCTAAGTTAGTGCAAAGAAAGAAAACTACTTTTCTTTTACTTGGCAAAGTACTCCATTTAATTTGGTGCATATTTAACACCTAATTCTTTCCTGGGGCCCTTTTTGCTTCTGAACATTTAACCACACCTCCTTTTTATTCTTCCATTCCAGACCCCATATTGTATTTCCCCCCCTTACTATTATTACCTCTCACAGAAATGGCCATGTAGACGGGAAAAGGGGCCACATACTAAACCTGAGAAGCTTAGGGGAGGCCTGTCTGGGGGAGGGAGGGATGCCTACAAACTTGGCCACATACTTAACCTCATAGGATGGTCTGAAATGAAAACTTTCTAACTAAAAGCAGTTCCAAGTCAGGTGGTCATGCACTAGGGAGGTGTGCTTCTCTAACAAAGTTCAATCTTGACCTTAACTGAGCCTGTCTATAGTCTTTTTTGGATCTGCAATAACATACCCCTGGAATGTCAGGGTAATTTTCTTTTTCCAAACCCCTCAGGGCACAAATACGGTAGTACACTAGAGCAGAGACCTCAAATCCTCTCATTGTTATTATCATGTTATAATATACCCACCCAAATAAAAGAAATATGTATCTTAAAAAAAAAAAAGTTGTATTCTTTTTACTTTTCACCCACTCCCAGAGACTTCCCTGCTTTTCTTTTCCCCTTCTCTAATCATCAACAATGTATTTCATGTAACCCCCTTAGGTCTTCCCCTTTGATTCTAACATATAAAAAAGTGATAAAATTGCCATTTTCTGGAACATTCTTCTCAATCCAATGAGATTGTGTCTCCTGGCAATTGTGGCCAGTTTACTCAAATAAAAACTCTTCAAGGTGTGCACATTTCTTACATTGACTGCTGGCCCTGCATATCATGAGATTTAGGGGATTCTAAGGGAATATGTTCTTTTAAATTTGAATTTATTGGTGTTACATTGGTTAATAAAATTATATAGGTTTAAGGTGTACAGTTCTATAATACATCACCTGCATATCGTGCGTTCACCACCCCAAGTCATGTCATTTTCCATCACCATTTACCCCCCTTTACCTTCTCCTGCCTCCCTTCACCCTCATTTTCCTCTGGTAATGACCATACTGTTGTCTATGATGTGTTGTTGTTTTTTTCTTAATCCCTTCACTTTTTTTTAACTTAGCCCCCTACCTTCTCCCTGTTGATAGTCTGTTTCTATTTTGTTAGTTTGTTCTGTCATTAGATTCCACATATAAGCAAAATCACACAGCACCCATCCCCATCTGACTGACCCGCCCCACCCAGCACAATGCTCTCTAGGCCCATTTGTGCATCTGCAAAAAGGCCAGATTTCCTTTCTGTCCACAGTAAAGCAGCGTTCCCTGGTATAAATGCACCAAGCTTTCTTATCCACTCATCTACTGACAGACACTTGGTAACTTCACTTCTACTCCTGGTCAAAATGGTTCCCATGTTATAACTGGGAACTCAAAGCCATTGGCAGCACCTGGCACCATGAACGGCCAGGCATTCAAGGTCGGATGAACCACAGGTGTGAAGATCATGGAGCGAGTGGGTGAGATCAAATGCGGGGCCTGAGGGGGAGGTGACACAACCAGTGATCCACACTCTTGGGTGGCAGAGGATCGCGTGAGAGCTCCTTGGCTTGTTGGTAACTGGAGCCGGAGGCAATGATGATCAGCAAGATGATGTCATCCTGAGTGGGAGCATTAGAAGAAGGACTCCCTGTTCAAAAATCCTTTGTTTACTTGTAATAATACCCCAGGCCATTTGGGAGGTGATGCACTTTGTATTGATTTAACCCAGGAAGTGATAACGCCCTTCACAACTGGGACTAACATGATGCCACTGGAGAACTAATGCAAAGACATATCATCTCAACAACTGACTTTCAGAATGACTGCTTTAGTTCGGTCAACAAATTTAATGGCAATGCCTACAAGTTGTGGTACAAGCTGGTTAAAGCAACAAGAAAATGGATATTCACTTAAAACAGAGGATTGGTTTTTTAATACTGTCCTTTGAGGGACAGGGTGAAGAAAAGAGATTTGTAAACTAGCACGTGTAAATATGCCTGGCCTTCTAAAATACACCTGATAAGGAACTTTCACTAGAGCCAAGCAATGCAGGAACCTTTGCTATGGCACAGTCCAAGACCACACCTCCAAAGTGGAAAGACCATTTCTTGACATGCACTGGGAAAGGGTTTAACCTAAGATACTAAATCACCTTCTACATATAACAAATCAGGCTCTTTGGAGCTGATGCAAAAGTGGAGCATTTGCTGACTCTCTCTCAAAGAATCTTCTTAGGCAACGCACAGTAAGAGCTATAAGAGCTTAGTTGTGTAATGACAACCCACGAGGGATTATGCATTGACTTTAAACACCGGGAAGACCTGCAGCCTCACTGGAGGAATGGGTTAGTCAGAAGTGTTCTATACCCCTGATGGGTGTCAGCTCATTATTTCTTCTTCTTCTCCTCCTCCTCCTCCTCCTCCTCCTCCTCCTCCTCCTCCTCCTCCTCCTCCTTCTTTTTCTTCCTTCTCCTTCTCCCCTTTTCCTTCTCCTTCATTTTCATCTTCAATATTTTAATCACATTTAATTTAGTAGTTCTATTGTAAAATGATACTAAGACTGTTTATCAGAAAAATGTGATCACATATCAATGTATTTTCAAATAGGATGACTTCCTTATGTTTATTGCTTTTAAAAATGCCATAAAACATCTTAACCACTTGACAGTGCACTTTATAAAGTGGATGCTATTTCTAACCGAGCACATAGTTCAGAAGATATCCTAACACTACAGTCAGGCTTGCTGACTTGGAATTTGTGGTTATTCATCTCTCTAGAATCTGAGCAGAATGAATTTACTGAACAAACCATGGACTAAAGATATAAAGGGGATTATTAAGCCAATAAGCTTTTCATGCATTTTTTGCCCAAACAAAAAAAAATGTTGATGATAAATAATTGATCGATTATTAAAGAAGATCCCTTTAGAACCTCTCCTGGGATTTACTTGTAGCTTAGTTCTGGTTAGCTTGTACTGCTATGAGAATTTGGCATTGTCCAGTCTGGCTACTTATTCAAGTGCCATGAATAATGTGACCTTTCAGTAAAAGCAAATGTAAAGAGTTCTATGGAATAAAGGTTGTTTCTCCTGGGAGGGGTGGGGCTTTATTAGGGCTACTCCTGTGTCCTCAGAAGTGAGAAGAGTGGCTTGGATGGATGGACCTACCTGTCCTGACTGAGCATCAGGGCTGTCAGGGTGGAGACCGCAGTTGCTATGAAGCCATTGAGAGCCCACCAAGGGTTCTGGACCAGGAGTCCCACCAGAATCAGGATTCCACTGATGGAGTTGTTGACAAGTGTCACCTGGGATATGCCCCGAAGAATCCAGTCGAAGAACTGGAGCACTAGGGGTTTGTCTGCAAAAGACGATGAGGGCAGAGCTAGGAAAGCAGTGAGGAGCCCCAAGTTTAAGGCCCTCCTTGAGCAAAATCATCAAATAAAGGTGAAACTTAAAAAAAATAGTCTTTGAGCAATTTCTCTGTAGTGGTACCCAGATCTCTAAGCATCCAATTTCTTTATGTTCAACCCACACTGCTCCTAGTAGAATCTCAGCCCCAAAAAGTGTCAAATGCACTTAATTCACCATGCGTAGAGGTACAGACTTTTAAAGTCAAAGGACTGAATTACCAATAGTAAAACTTTAGATTTTAGGTGCTGAAACAATAAAATGGAGCCGGTTGTCTTCCTCTGATAGGAGCAAGATCCTGCCCCTGGCCACTGGCTCCATAAAAAAAAAAAAAAAAAAAAAAGTTTGAAGAGGCTTGCAGATTAAAAGATAAAAAGTTTAAAAATGGGGAGGGAAGAGATAGAAAGTAGGTGAATACAGTCAAACCTTGGTTCTCAAACTTAGGCTATTCAAGAAGTGATTTGTTTGAAAATGGAATCATTTTTCCCCCATTCGAAATAATGTAAATTGAATTAATCCATTTCAGACTCCCAAATGACTTACTGTTTTAACCTTTCTTACATACAGTGCATGTCTAATGTATTGTTTAATCTATAAACAAACATTTCTTAAATGTATCGAAGCGTCCCCTTTAGCCTGAAAGGAATCACTTGCAGCCCTCGGTCCAGCTCCCAGTGCTGTCTTTCAGGGGTGCAGGTCTTTGCTTGTTCACATGTCGTTCACATATCACTGCCTCCGAACTGCGGTCACTGGCTAAGTGCTTGTCATTTATCCAAATCAACAACAGTTTTTCTGCCCCTTCAATTGCCTATGATCATAGTTTGTTTCACACCCTTAGCAACATTAGCACTCTTGATGGCCTCTTTATGTTTTAAAACTGTGCTAATGATTGATTTTCACCAGCAACAAAAGCATTCTCTCCTTTGTTTGTTGCCTGAGAGACGCTGAAAGGGTTGTCAGGTCCAAAACCAAAGCTTGGTTCTACGACAACCAAGACATCCCCCGCCTTCCTCTCCCTCCCCCCTGCCCCGAACAACTTCGTCGAGACTGAGATTCGAGAACCGAGTTTTGACTGTATAACTAAAGAGATGAGTTGAAGAATCAGCGATTTCTTCCAAAGCCACTTCTCACATCTCTCCAAGGGATGGGAGCAAAAATACCTTTAAGCCAGTTGGCAAATTCTCTCATGTCACCAGTGACATAGGCAAGAGCCTTGGGAAGGCGCCTTCTCCTTCGTGACGGTGAGGTGAGGTTTTGACCCCGGTCCTCCTTAACCATAGTGGGACTGTCCTCCATGGCTATCTCTTCTTCTGGCCCCTTGAGGAAAGAACAGAGCTCATTAACACTCACATGCAGGCTTCTCCAGGCTGGTCAGCATAGGGCCTGATCACAGTAGCCACAAGGGATGAGTTTAAACACATTATTTCATCTGGACCGTGACATCTCATGATACTAAGAAAGCACCCTTTTCCTCTTGAAATATCCTCATGGAGATGATTGCCCAAAACCAAATTCCATCCTACTTTGTGATTACTGTCTTTGATGCTACCATGAGAAGGTTCTGGTCTTTATTTTCATAAGGTTCTGTTTCTAATTCAACAAACATTTATTGAGTGTCTGTCTCCTGCACTCAAAGATGTCTTTCAGCCTCGTGGAAAAGACTGGAAAACAGTTAATGTCAACATAACAAGGCAAATAGTAATGTAGAAAGAGCTAACATCACATGCTGTCAATTAAAGGAGCCAGTTATCAGATTACAAAATGGTGCTCACTGATGCAGACCAATCAGCAGCTTTCTAAGACCAACAGCCTTTTAAAATTAAAACTTAATTTTATGGAAAAAGGCTTTATGTTTAAAAGTTTGAAGATAAGGGAAATTTTAAAAGCAGTTTGTGTGTGTTAGCACTACCTAAGAAACCCCGTCACACACATGCTTCAAATTTAAAGATTACTTGAATATGCCCAGCTGGAGTGGCTCAGTGGTTGAGCATCAGCCTATGAACCAGGAGGTCAGGTTCATTACTGGTCAGGGCACGTGCCTGGGTTGCAGGCTGGGTCCCCAGTCGAGGGTGGGCAGGAGCAGCTGATCAATGATACTCTCTCATCATTGATGCTTCTATCTCTCTCTTCCTCTCCCTTCCTCTGTGAGATTAATTATATATACTATATCCTCACATCAGGCAACCACTTCAGATATTCCTCATTTTTGGAATTTGTTATTTAAGTGTTCTAAAACAGGCAAGAATAACATTACACAAAGGTATAGGAAATAGGTAGAGTGGGAGTGGACCACACTGTGGAAAACCAAGGAGTTGTAACCCAAGAATTGTACACTAGAAGGATGTTCCAGGTGTAATTATAGTAAACATGCTTCAGAAAAACAGCAACAACATCGCTATGACTTGTGCTCACTCTGAGGTTCTTCCCTTCCTATCATTAGTGTGAATGAGAAAGCTCCGACATCACCAGAATATGATACTCTGCAGACAGAACTGGTTTCATGGTAGACACAAAAGAATACCAATGATGCCATCTCAGAGGTAGGCAAAGGGAAAAGACAATGGCACAACCACTGGGAGCATGCAAGAAAGGCCAAGAGCACAATCAGGTTAGTGTGAAGTAGGTAAACACCAAAACCAGAAGGCATAACGGGAGAATGTTGAAGCCACAGGCACATAAGACACAACCACAGAAATACCAAAGCCCATGTAGATAAGCCAGCTCACCTTCTACCTGTGGCCAGGCTGTGAATCAGGGGTTCTCATGGCTATTTTTGGTCCCTTCATTGTTCCATTTACCATGGCCAACAAATAGCTATTAATAGATAGAAAAGTTATGCTTTGTTTTTCTTCAATCCGGACTCTAGTTTTGCCTTCTATTAACCCTAACATGGAAATCAATGTGGGTAACTGACTTACTATTATTTAACAATCGTATTTGAATTGTGTTATTTCACTGTTTCACTAACCATCCTCCTTTCAAACAATGGTGAACCATTGATCGTAACACAATCATAACACATCCTGGGGGGCTTTTCCTACACAAAGTAGAAGGTATTTATGGAACACATTCCAGATTAAGCTTATTTTGTTTTGGCAAAATAGTGTTAGATTCTTGCACACGTGAGACTTCCAATGAATCTTAGCATTAAGAATCTCTTCAATTGAAAACTGCTGGAGGTTAGGAGCCAAATTAAAGTCTATAAGGAGCTCACTGGCCCCATAATTAACATGTAAAACTGAATTAGTAAGCAATTATAAACAATTGTCTTTTATTTCATAATCTAAGTGATGGCTACCACTTATTTTCAGATATCTCCCGCTTTAAATCTCATTACTGAAAATATTGCTTGGTAAGCCCTTCCCCAGCTACATGACTTGTTTTAAAAGCCAGGCCCAGTTATCGAAGACATTAGCCTTCTGCCTGGGCAGCCACAAAAGGCTCAGATACAACTGCCCCGAGTTTCTCAGATCAGCACAGAAGGAAAACATTAGAGAGGCATTTTCCATTGAGAAAAGAAATGAGTGGGTATATATGGGTTATTCTGGGGTGAACAAATTCATGTTCTCAAAATTTCCAGCCCACATTTATTTATTTTAGAAGGCTTTAAATACACCATCGCCTCGGAGATTTTGGAGATACAGATATGAAACTTGATAGCATAACTGGCCAGACGTGATTGGGAACCTGAATGGCCTGAGTTTCCTGTGGAGCTACCCCAAGGCAAAGACTGAATTTTCATCTCAATCCACAGCCCGCCATCAAGAAGGCTTAATGCCATTTGTCTCTCCGGGGTCCACGCCTGGCATGCGTGGTAGGGCCTCCATGTCTTGGACACAGGAGTCTTCTCCTGAGTTGAGCAGACAGCTGCTGCTGATTGGGAGCCAAAGAACCATTTGTTCTGAACTACGAAAAGGTTCTGGAGACCCGGGGAGCCTTGACTACTTCCTCTGGAACTCAGGCATGAGCACTGGTTATGAGAAGCCTGTAGCTTAAAGGCTGCAGTTCATTTTACAAGTTTATCACCCTAGACCCGTGGTTGGCAAACTGCAGCTCGCGAACCACACGTGGCTCTTTGGCCCCCTGAGTGTGGCTCTTCCACAAAATACCACGGTCTGGGCCAGTCTATTTTTAAGAAGTGGTGTTAGAAGAAGTTTAAGTTTAAAAAATTTGGCTCTCAAAAGAAATTTCAATCGTTGTACTGTTGATATTTGGCTCTGTTGATAATATGAGTTTGCCGACCACTGCCCTAGACTCTATGCATCTACTTAGGGAGCTTTAAGAATCCACACAGCCTACTAGTACCTGGAAAGGCAATGGAAGGCAATGGAGCAAGGATCATCCACTGATGCTCAAACTTCTCAAATCTAACTAAGTAGGCCATTAACCTTTGCCAAAAAGCAGGATAAGAAAATGCATGCAAGAAACCCTAATAAAATAGAAGCAGGGTAAGAACCCCAGACTAGTTTTTCCCAGTTTTCCATCCTTATCCAAACCCAGCAGCTCACCCATCCAGCCTCTGAACCATGAAAAGTGCCCCGTGAGTTTCTGGACTCAGTCCCATGCCCATCCGGGCAGCCCAAGCCGTGCTCTCAGCAGAGCGTGAGGACCCCACTTCCCAGGCTCCACTCAGGAAAGACGCGGGGGCGCAGGTGCCAAGGCTCCCGGAGACAGAGGCCGCGGGAGGAAGCATACCTACCTGTTCCGGCGGCCCTCGGGCCAGGGCCAGCTTTAGCCGGGAGAAGCCTCCACGCATTGCCTCACCAGCTTTATTTCCAAAAGGGTTCCTCCAAAGAGGAACCGGAGAGGCGTCCCCAGCGCCGCCAATCAAAGACCGTCCATTCATCCTCCTTCCTCTCCACTCTCCATAGAGGACAAAGGGCAAAAAATACAAGAATCAGCAGGACGCGCGCCTTGGCAGGTGAACTGCGAGCTGGAGGGAGGCAGGAGCGTGCCTGGTGTGCTCCCCGGTGGAGGAGATGTGGCCCCGACTGAGACTTTTAACGGAGAGGGCCCATTTCTCCATCAACCAAGTGCTCCCTTAGCAAAGAGAGACCGTGAATTGACCACAGACATCCAATGTTCATGTTCCATTGCTTAGAACGAAACAAACACAAACAGTTAAAACCGGTTTGGCTCAGTGGATAGAGCAGCGAATCGAAAGGTCCCAGGTTCGATTCCGGTCAAGGACATGTACCTTCGTTGCGGGCACATCCGCGGTAGGAGATGTGCAGGAGGCAGCTGGTCGATGTTTCTCTCTCATCGATGTTTCTAGCTCTCTATCCCTCTCCCTTCCTCTCTTAAAAAATCAATAAAAATTAAAAAAAGAAAAAAAGAAACACACACAAACAAACCAAAAATGGTGGCAAACCTTTCTACAAAGACAGCGACACAGAGATCTTGCTGCGTTGCGCTCTCCCACTCCCAGGAGGCTGGCAGACCTGCAGCTGCTCCAGCAGGAGGGGTGGGCTTCAGCTCTGAAATGCTGCTTCAGGGCAAATGCGTAGGACTCCATCCTGGAGACAGAGGCCCAGGCACCTGTTTCCTCAGTCTTGTTCTTTACAAATGTACAATAGGAAGAAGACGTGGTGCGGACTCTGATTTTCTGTAATAAGATACTGGCTACACTTAACTGCACAGAGAAAGCCCAGTCTAAGAGAATGCTAAATGGCATTTCCCCCCTCCCCCCACCTTGTATCTGAATACCAATTGTTAAATAGGGGACATCATCTTGTTCATAATAAATAATTTTTAGTTGAATTCTACAAGTGTGGCAGCTTTGTATTTATTTAAAAAATATATTTTATTGATTTTGTACAGAGAGGGAAGGAGAGAGATAGAGAGTTAGAAACATCGATGAGAGTCATCGATCAGCTGCCTCTTGTACACCCCCTACTGGGGATATGCCCGCAACCAAGGTATATGCCCTTGACTGGAATCGAACCCGGGAACTTTCAGTCCCCAAGCCGATGCTCTATTCATTGAACCAAACTGGTTTCGGCTGTATTTATTTTTTTTAAACTTCCATTGCATCCAAGGAGATAATTCTTCCCTCAGTAGTTCTAGAAAAGTTGTATGCGTGGCATTTCTTTTTCTCTCTCCCTCCTCCTTAATTTTACTTTCTTCTACTGCCTCAGGATGAAACTCGAGAACTTACACTTTATTAGAGTCATTCAGAACAATCTCCAGTTGTGGGATAGATCCCTGTCATGGCTTAGGAAATAACTGTGCGCATGTGTGTTTATCTGTGGTTAAACCATCTGGTTCGTTAGGTATCAAACTGATGTGTCTAATGGTTACATTATACATATTTTCATTTGAGAAAGAGCAATGGTGAGACTCATCTCATATAAAAATAAAGAAGAAGAAAAAAAAAAAAGGAAAGAAAGAGATAACAGAAACCGCCACATTTCATCAGAGTAGACGCTTAGCCCTCCTGCCCTGCAGGGTTCCTGCCTTCCCCCCACTACCAAAGTCAGACACATCTTGGAGAATCACATCCTTTGAGCTCAACATCAGTATTTTCTTCGAGCCAAGAGACGGTAACATGTAAGAGCTAGGTGGGGTTTTAGAGAGTGCGTAGTTCAAGCCTTCGTTTTATAGAAGAGAAAACTGAGGCTCTGAGTGGGGACCATCCAAGTTCACTCAGCAGAATCAGTCTTCAGGAAGAGGAAAGCCTTGGTGGCTCTCTGTCTTTCATTTTGGAGCACATTAGCACCACCCAAGATTCCACTCAAGTCAACAACCAGAGAACAGCTTCGGAGAGCAGCCTGCAGCAGGCACTAGGGCGCAGTGGGATAGGAGACTCAGCCTGTCTCCAGGGCTGCCTTGAAATAACTCTGAGACAGAGGGGGGTTGAACAGTGACAAAAGGCTCGGCCACCCCCAATTTTACCCTGTGCCCTGGCCAGAACCAGTGACTGTTCTGACAAATAAACATCTCCCCAGGCCTCAAAGTAAGCCTCATTCTCCTGCATCACTGACACATCCACACCAAGGCCTGTGTGTGCTGAGCTTAAAGGTCTGAGAATGTTCTGGAAACTGCTTTCTGGCGGGAGTCAGAAAGCCTAGGTCACCAGTGAAACAAAACAGTGTTCATCATTCAAATATAAGGCAATATCAGAATTTCAATCCAACCAACACTCCCTATTTTATTATACAAAATAAAACTCGTCCTATTGCCAGCATATGTTAGAAATTTGTGCAACTAGAGAGACCCAAAAGTCTTTAATTTTCTCTGTCTCAAGTACAGGCATAACTTGGAAATATTGCAGGTTTGGTTCCAAACTACTGCAATAAAGTGAACAGCTTAACAAAGCAAGTTGCACATTTTTTTTGCTTTCCCAGTGCACATAGAAGTTATGCTTACACCATACTGTAGTCTATTAAGTGTGTAATAGCGTTATGTCTAAAAACGCAATGTACACACTGTAATTAAGAACAATTAATTGCTAAAAAATTGCTAATGCTGAATATGAACCTTCAGTGAGTCATAATCTATTTTCTAGTGGAGAGTCTTACCTTCAATTTGTTAACCACCCACCCCCTCGCTCCCCAATTTACACAAGCACAATAAAGCGAAGTGCAGTAAAACGAGGTATGCCGATATCACTTTAAAAAAACAGTACAAAGTTTTGGATATGGATACAGAAGGAAGAATTTAAGTATTCAGGCTCTTCCATTTTAAAGACAGGTTCAACATTGACATTTAGTTGGTACTTACAATCCTCTTTATTTTAGGTAGTTTTTGATATTAAGTGGTGGGAGGTGCTCAGTTGTCCTGAAAGCTGCAAGCAGAAACAAAGAGAATGCTGTCAGTTATTGCTGCCTCCTGATTAAAACGACTTTCTCTTGGGGACAACGCTACTCCTAGCAGCCTGGAGGTCTGAATTCCACAGTAGAAAGTGCAGCTGCAAGGGACTTGCCAAATGCAGGGCTTCTGTGAGCCAGCGTGCTCTCCTGAAGCTGAGCACTCCCCCTGTAGCAGGACAGCACATGCCGGAAGATCCATAAAACCAGATTAGAAAGGGCCGTCGCCAGGGGCCCACTTTTTTTTTGGAGTCAGTTGTGTCTCCAACTTCGTTATTTCCAGAACCCAGCCTGAAACGCCCGTTCAGTGGTGATGGACTCCCTCAGCATGTCCTGGAGACACCTTGCTGCAGACCCTCTTCCACGGGGGAGTGTTCAGCTTCAGAGACCATAAGCAAAGGCATGGCTTCCAAGCTTCCAGGAAGAGGCCTGGGGCTTTGGGAAGCTGCTTTCTAGTCTAGCCAAAACTCTGACTTTGCTGTTTCTACCCAGTTCCAGACTCTCTGAAACATTTCCCCATTCAAACAAAGAAAGGGGAAAAGGAGCGAATTTTAAAGCGGACCGAGCACTCAACAGCAGTAAATAGAAGAAATAAGGAGGATACTCACACTCCAGCTGGCTTCCCAGGCCAGAAGGCACTGGCTGATAAAGCTCGGCAGGCCGGGCTCTGCTGAAGGGAGGGTGCTTAGGAGGAGGCAGTGCTGGGAGGGAGGCACCCAACCGTTTTATAGTCAGAACCCCACTCGGCTCTCTCCTCCCACTTCAGGCACCAGTGCCAAAGCAATTGCTGAGAGATTGGTCCCCTGTCCTGTACCTGATGTCTCTCTCTCTCTCTCTCTCTCTCTCTCTCTCTCTCTCTCTCTCTCTCTCTCTCTCTCTCTCTCTCTCTCTCTCTTACCTGGTGTCAACATCTTTGCTATCCTTTCTATGACATTCTGAGGTCTTTGCTCAGCCATAATTCTACTCAAATTCATCTTTTCTTTCTCCATGCTGTTTCCCGTAGCTCCTACCCTCACCGTGAAATACGTTTGGGAAAGTTTGTAACAGAAAAAGGGTAAAAAGATTATCACTTTAAAAACCAAGGGGGCAGGTTGCTATGCAATGGACTCTGGAGCAAAGTGACTGCACCTGGGGGGAGAGGGCATTTTCTCTGAGACGGGACACAGCTTCTGCACAGGTGTAAGAACCCAGCAAGGTCTGAGGGACGTGGTGCGGGGTACAAGGGGTAGACAATTTGTTTTTTTGGAAATCAAGCTGCCCTTTCCCCAGTGAGGAGAAAAAACACACAAATGTTTCCCTGGATTGCCTCTCTATCTACCAGTAGGTGAGAGCCCCAAGACAAATCCCACTGCCCTTTAAAAGTCCAGATGCTATATATATGGTCAGCAGCATCGTGGTAAGTGCACACGGTGACAGATGATTACCAGAACCAGTGGGGTGAACACATTGTAAGGTCCGAAACTGTTGCATCACGTATTGTACACGTGGAACTAGTACTACCCATATAAGATTGTATACAGACTATACTTAAATAACAATAAATTTTAAAACAGTCCAGAGGCAAACATTCCGTAGCAGAGGAATCTAAAATTGAAGTAAAAAAAAAATCCATTTCTTCCTCATTCTTCTGAAATGTCAGTTTTGTGGCATGTTCTGTATGGCAGGAATGTACGTCAGGTGTTCTTCAAGAGCACAGAAAGCTGTGCCCATGTCATCAGTCTCTCTCTGGGCTTCCCGCCTGCCTGGAGGAGCTGATAGCCCTTGTCAGTGGTCAGCAAAGCAGCGGCAACTCTCTGGCTCCACCCCCTGGATACCTGCCAGACCACAGGGCTCCCAGTCCTCTTGGGGACTCCCTCCCTCCAGTTGCCTCCTATAACTGAGGGTATTTGTTCTGGCGCCTGGACGAGAGACCATAGTTCCAGGTTCATGATTAGAGTTTTGAGAGTCTGGCATATTTCCCGTCAATATTATTTTTCTGGTAAAATAAGGAGAAAGGAAACTCCTAGGGTTACCCTGAAAGGGGAAAATGAACCATAAG